ATCGATGCTCTCACCGTGTCTGCTATAGATCTGGAACTGCTCAGAAGTCCAGGAGCTGACAGCTCGATCCCGTCCGCTCTTCCTTTTGTCACGACGCTGGTCGCAAGCCCAGCTGAGGAACCCTTAATGGATCGGATGGACAGTGTCCGGTAGGCGTCGAGCACATCCCTCCTCATGTACTCGCAGTATCTGAGAGCCTCCACGGTTAGCGGGTTGGTTTGGGGAACACTTGAGATCACACTCACTGGTGCCAGTGGTCTCGGACTCTATCCATGTTATCAACTGTTGCTTTCAAGCGACGTTGCCGGAGGCGTTTGACATCAAGAGCAGTCTCCTCGGCCTCATAATGTTCGGGAGGAAGCTTGTCATCTTCTGAGCTCTCCCCATCGCTGTCGTCGCTGTCGTCGCTATCCTCACTGTGAGTCTCCTCGGTCACGTCGGTATTGCCGTCGCTGTCGTCTGAGAACATATCATCGGCGTAGTCCGACTCGCTGTTGCAGAACTCGCTACCCTCAGCCGCATGGGAAGCAGGCATGCTGCGAGTCAGGCAAGAAGGAGCCCCCGCCGACGACGCTGAAGAGATCGGAGTGTGGACAGGCGAGGAGAGGAGGCAGAACAAGAGAAGAATGAGACGAAGAATGATGGTGTGAATGTAAACAGTAAAATAGCCTGTGGGGACGATGTCAAGCTGGAATGGTTACTTGATGATACTCGCGGACACATCGGGAGTGAAATCGGAAGAGCAGAAGGCCACATCTCTCCCATGGAGGGAAGATAGTGGCCGGCAGATGGGAAGGGATCCATTTTGAGTGACCCGGCACGAAAAAAGTGTGGCCTCTGGCTCACCCAGCGAGGCGAATGAAAACAGACTGCCAGACGGGGAGCGTTTCGAGGTTGGTGCGGCATGACCATCACTCACTCTGATTGGATGCGTGCATGTTGGAGGAAGGGTGCGTGGCGGCACAGCCTGGCGACTGGACGGCGCAAAATGGCGACGAAACCAGGTACTTTCGGCCGCGGACCTGCCATCACATCGTTTAATCGAGTAATTTATATAATGAAATTGAAAGAAATGAATATTTCAAAATGTTCTTATTATCTGTGTAATAAATGTACATTGATTAACAATCTAACACTATTCTGAATACAGATTATAAATTGATTAAGAAAAGAAAGAAAAAAGAAATCAGAAAAAAAGATTGTATGAAGAGGGTTTCTATAAAGAGAAAATCAAAATGAAAGAATATCAGAAGCCACTTCACAATGAAGCACAGAGCAGAAAAACATTAAAAATTACACAAAAAAATTGTTAAAATTACATGAATGTGAAGTATGAGAAACTACATGAGCATGCAGAAGAATCATTAAAACTACACAAATGTGAAATATGAGTTGATTGTATAAGTTAACTACTAATGAGTGCTAACCCGGAATATTATCCCCCCTTACCGGGGTGAGCGATGACTCATAGGCGTCGAGAGCGGCGGTGTGCTCCATAGCAGACACGGGTTCCCAGGTCAGATGATTGTATTCTACTCATTTGACAAGGTATTCACAGCAGTGATGGTTGGTTCTATCATCAAGAATTGCTTTAATTTTCCATTCAAGTTCATTATCTTTTTTTATGATGACAAATGGCTGTCAGTCAGAGATTCTCTGTGAGAGGAATGAATTCTCAATTGCAGATTAAAGCAGGTTTGTATGAAAGATATTGTGAATGTCAGACAAAGTGTTGAGTTGATAATTGTGTGTGCTCAGCACCTCCATCACAGTATATTTAATGTGATGATAATTCAGCATATACAAGAGATGATTTGTTTTTATATTCTTGAAATCTAATCAAATTTTATTTTCTATATAATATCAGATTGCAGAATTTCTTCTGATATTTATTTAATTTTTATAATTTTACTAAATGCTGATTATGAAAGCTTCTGCTCATTTGCAGATTTTTTTAAACTTGTTCATAATGTTCTCTGCCACTTATATGAGACTGTGGATGTATATGATTTTTCAAAGGTTTTCAGAGAAGTTCAGAACTTCTAAATTGTATTCATGCAGAAGAAAGAATGAGCTTATATCTGTTATAATAAAATTCAGCCATTAATCACAATTC